TGCCGGGGGCTCCACTTCCTCGGCCTGCGGGGAGAGGGCAGTGTCAATGGTGCCCAGGGCTGCTTGGAGCTGTGCGCAGCGGGCAAGTCGCTGGGACTCTCGGAACTTCTGAGTCTTCCTGTAAACACAGCGGAAGCAGCCTGGGGGGGTTGCTCTGAGGATTAACAGATGTTTCTCTTTGTAAGAGCCCCCAACGGAGATGAGGGCAAGCCCATCAGCAGCAAAAAGGATAAACGAATGTGAGCAGTTGGTATGTTAGGCATCGATCCTAATATATATATACACACATACATCACATACACTTTATACATCTATAAGAATAGAAGCGTAATGTGCTTATTAGAGTGGACAGCAAAACGACCTTACCAACGTCCTTCCGGAAGTTAGGACAGTGGCCACTTTGTGGTTGGTGACTGGGAGAGCACGGGAGTCCCTAGAGGCTGGCCCTTGCTTCTTGCTGGATCACTTGGTGGTGATTTGTGGAGTTGGCCGCACGATTCTTTGGCCTTTTGGTGTTATGTTTCAATAAGTCAATGAGACACAGTACTTAACATATAGGACATGCAGGCACATGACTAATAAAAGAAGCATGCTAGAGGGGAGGTTGGGGGAGTTTGTCACACCAGGCAACTCACCCTGGGCCTCTCTGACCCCATCCATACCAGGAACACTGTCCTGCTTCTGGACTTGATAGTGGGGTGTGTGGAGGGCAGATCTTATACATCCCCCCCCCCCCCACACACACACATACACACACACACACAGTTAGATATAGAACAAGTTCATTGAGAAGAAACATGCTGGCTTGCCCTGCCTATGCCAAAACTGCTCCTGTCATCTAAATTCCTATTTATAAATCCCCTCGTTCCCCTGCACACATATTTCAAAATCCCACCCCCTGTGCTGTCCAAGTAAATAATGCCTGTCTGCAGACTGGAGTAGTATGTAGCCATCAAAACCTACCCCTAACCTGCTTATGAAAGATCACCAAGACATTATGGTTCATGAAGAAATTAAGGTAAAGAACAGCTTGTTTGCTATGCACCCTGTTTTCAAATATACATATGCACACATGTAATATGTATATATTTGTACTAGAGGCCCATTGCACAAAATTTGTGCACAGGTAGGGTCCCTAGGCCTGGCAGGTGATAAGGGTCGATCGGGGCCTTCTGGCTGCTGGCCAAGGCCTTCCTTCGTTCCGCGCCGCCCCCTGGTGGTTAGCACATATCATAGAGAGCAATCAAACTCCCGGTCTCCTGGTTGAACTCCTGAGGGGACACTTTGCATATTAGCCTTTTATATATGTATAGACTAGAGGCCCGGTGCACAAAAATTTGTGCCCTCAGCGGGGTCCCTCAGCCCAGCCTGTGCCCACTCACAGTCTGGGACCCCTCAGGGGATGTCCACCTGCTGGCTTAGGCCCACTCCTGGGGGGATCGTGCCTAAGCTGGCAGTCAGACATCCCTCTGGCAGCCCAGGAGCCCTCAGGGGATGTCCACTTGCCAGCGGTGAGAAGGCCTAAGCTGCAGTCGGATATCCTAGTGTTGCTGAGGAGGTGGCAGGGGCCCCTGCCACCACCGCTGTGCTGGCAGCCGTCAGCCTGGCTTGTGGCTGAGCATAGCTCCCCTTGTGGGAGCACACTGACCACCAGGGGGCAGCTCCTGCATTGAGCATCTGCCCCCTGGTGGTCATTGTGTGTCATAGTGACCAGTCATTCCCAGTGGTTCTGCTGTTAGGGTCACTTTGCATATTACCCTTTTATTATATAGGATAGAGGCCTGGTGCATGGTGGAAGCTCACTGGTTTGCCCTGAAGGGTGTCCCGGATCAGGGTGGGGGTCCCCCTGGGGTGCCTGGCCAGCCTGGGTGAGGGTCTGGGATTTATTTAGATTCTATAATTGAAACTTTGTTGCCTTTTGTGGAGGCCAGAGCTGGCCAGCTCAGAGCAGATGGGAAGCTTTTCTTCCTCCATCACCTGGAGCAAAAAAGCCTCCTGCTTGCTCCAGCTCCATGGCTGCCGACCGCCATCTTGGTTGGGTTAATTTGCATATAGTCGCTCTGATTGGCTGGTGGGCGTGGCTTAAGGCATAGCAAAGGTATGGTCAATTTGCATGTTTGTCTTTTATTAGTGTAGATAGGCCTGGAATATTTTTTTGGAAGGAGATACAAAAATACACAAGAAACTGTTATCAAGGATTGCCTTTGGAAAGAAGAATTAGGTTCTGAAGCCAAGAGATATTTCTCCTCATTCCTCACTATTTTATTATGTATATAGCTAGTGCAAAAGAGTTTTGTCATGCACGTTATATTTTTCAATTTAAAGAAAACAATTAAACATTTAGAAGTACCTACGAAGAATGCTTAATGACAGGAAAAACACTTATGATATGTTAGTAAAATAAAGAAGGCAAGATACAAAATGGCATATGCCATCTGATCTCGACTAAAACGATAGAAGGTCAAGGGTGCCTAAACATCCTTCCCACACATCTATTGTGGTGGCTGCAAACTCCATGCGCTACTCCTAATGTCCTGTAGAGGGCGTCAGGTCACCTACAATAGGTCCCCAGCAGGCACATTTTGGAATTGGTGTAATTACAAGATCTAGTGTTTTTCAAACTTCCTCCCAGGACCCCTCACCGCCACCCCCGCTCTCCAAAGAGCCTGGACAGGGTGGGTCTCTGGTCCCCACCCCAGCTTCACCCAGAGAACTCATCTTTTCTTCCTAATATAGCTTATCAAATTTATGAAAAGTAAAAATGAGCACAAAGCCAACATGTGCAGGTAAGGAATGGAAGGCTTCAGGAGATTGGTGGTTCTTCCCCAAACAAAGGGAAGATGGGAGCATGGAACTGCTGTCTCCTGGTTCAGCCTTTTCACGGTGCCCTGCTCAGCCCAGGCCCCCGAATTACCAGTGTCATTGTGAATAATTTCCAAGCTGCAAACAGAGGGCATAATCCTACACCATTAGCTCTTAAATCATTTTCTTCAGAATTAACGACATTGGACTCATGTTAGGGTCCCGCCTTTTAAATCCTAATCGAATGTGACAACTGCCCCGGCCTCCTTCCGAGGGTGATGGGAGTGCCCATGCCTGGTCTGGAGGAGTCGGTTGGTTTTTCCACGTAGCCTGTTTTTATATCAAGCCTCATTTATGAAACTGAACGGAAACTGGAAATAAGAAATGAAATACTTTTCACCCACTTTCGACACCTGCCAGGCAAGTACTCCCCTAATGGCACCCCCAACAGAAGGGGTGTGGGGAGATCAATTTTAGATGTGCCACTGCTCTCAGAGGAAAGTTCAAACGTTTCACAGAATTTGGAGAGAACAAAAGAGATAAGCGCCTTAGAAGTCAAATCTCCCCGAGTTATTTAGATGGTGCCTTGGAGACAACAGATGTCGGTGGGCGATAAAGGACTGATTTCCCCAAGGGGCCCAGATTAAAGGATGGAATGCTTGGGAAAATATTTCATGTTCTGCAAGGTGATATTCAAAGAAGGTCCTAAATAAAGGATGTCCCCTGGAGTTCTGAGAGAGAATGGACTTTTATCAAAGAAATAAATAGATCACCGGTCAATGGCTTCCCAGCCCACAGGGGAGGGTGGGTGTCGAAGGGCTAAAGGCCAAAGTCCTTGGGCTAAAGATCAGACCTGAGCTGCCCCCAACCCTTCCACATCTCTGACCTCCCTCCCACCACTCTGCCCTTGCTCATTCCTGTCCAGTGCCCTGGCCTCTGTGAGGCCCCTGGCACACGATAAGCCCAGGCCACAGCGGGGCCTTTGCCTGGGCCGGGCCTCTCACCCAGATGCCCGCCTGGCCCTGGCCTTTAAGCAGCTCCAGACCCCTGGTCACCATGGGAGCACTGTGTCTGACAGACTCATCAGTTTCTTGTTTTTCTCCCCTTATACAGGACTTGGTTTTGTTCCCACCTGTGTCCCAGGCACTTACACTCTCTGCAGCCGCAGCCCGCCCACCCTTCCATTGCCACTGAGTCTGAATAAAATAATAGCAGGTCAAATCCCTCCGGTCAATTGGCTGACAACATCCCTCATGAAAACCCCAGAGGAACCCGGGATCTTGATCTGTTATTTCCATTCCCGCTAAGGGGCTACACAGCAGGTCTATTATCAAGCAGCTGCAACACACATTTCCAGTGGGCGCTTCCAGTATTGCCTGCCTTCCTCGGATATGAATGACTCTCGTAAGGTCAATGGCCTGGTGGCCACTTTCCCCTCCCTGGGGAGATGGGCTTGGAGGCCTCTGTAGATGTGCAAAGCCATTCTGCTGCTATTAGGCAAGTAGGTTCGGGAAATGGCAGTTCTGGCTGCGTTGGTAGGAAGCCCAGTTCTGCTAGTCTAAGCCTGATTCCCAGATGTCCAGCAAAGGAGGCTGGATAAATAGATAATGGCACATCTGGACCTCGGAACACCATAGAAGCCTTTGAAAAGGGGACACAGATCTACCATATTAGCACACGCACCATCTATGTTCAATGACAAACACAAGGTACAAAACAGTACGAATAAGCCAGACACAATTCCATACACTACATGATTCCCTTTATACGAAATGTCTCAGACAGACAAATGCGGAGAGACAGAAAGCAGATGGGTGGTTGCCAGGGGGGAGGGGAGTGACGGCTTAACAGGCCTGGGATCTCCTTTTGGGGTGATGGAAATGACTTGGAACTAGATAGAGGTGGTGACTGTCCTCAATGTCAGTGAATTATTCATTTTTGAATGGTTATGTGAATCTTATCCTAATGAAAATCTCTAAAACACAATACGAGTAAAATCCTATTAAGAAAAAAAATGTGTGTGTGGAGTATCATGGCTTCATTAAAGTCTAGGCAAACACACCCTAAAATGTCAACAGAGCTTATGTCAGAGGAAGAGTTTAAATTATTTTTACTTATTTAGGACAGTCTGTCTGTATTTCTTTACAATAAACATCATTTTTGTAATCAGAAAACAATTTGAAGCCATTTCCATTTAAGGAGAAAGAATCCAATCTCCAGAC